GGTCGTCGGTTGTTTTCTTTTTTTTTTTTTTTTTTTTTTTTTTTTTTTTATGTAAGACCTTTTGAGTCTCAAAGGAGAGCAAATGTGAAACAAATACTTGGACAAAAGTAGTATCTAATTATCAACTCTGGTTAGTGTTTTAAAGAAGTACAGTTATAAGAGGGCTAGATTTAGACAGGAAGAGTTGGTCAGGGAACCTCTATAAAGCGATTTTTAGGGACCAGCAGATGGTGTAATGGGTATGTCGCTGGACTCTCACATGGCCTATATGCGCCCCAGACCCAGTGGCTTAAAACTCACACCAGGCACATGTATATGCGAGCCCACAATCCTGAGAGGAGAATGGAGGAGGATTGTGGTATGACCCTCCCCTCTGGGGAGTGATTTCTTGGGTTATGTTTCTCCATCTCTCTGTCTCTCTGGCGAGCATGCACGCCCTATAGCAAAAATCTCTCCAAGACAAAAAAAAAAACATGTTTCTTTAAGGTTTTTTCTTGAGAGAGAAAGGATGTGAGCATGTGCACCTCCCTTCCACCCTCACAGGGTCTTCATGCTGCAGTCCTCTTTCAGTGTCAGTTAGCCCCAGATCATGGGAACACATGTGCATGGAGTTCATCTCTTTCTCCCTCTATGTAACCCTTGGTAACCACTGATCTTTCTCTTGACTCCATAATTTCGTCTTTTTCAGAATATCATAGAGTTGAAATTATAGTACATAGCCTCTTCAGACTGGCTTCTTTTCTTTACTAGTATGCATTTAAGGTTTTTTGTGTGTAATGGTAGCTTTTATATATATATATTTTTTTCTTCAAATTTTGGCCATAGGTCATGTGCACTCACCTGAGAGAGAGAGAGAGAAAGTGTGAAACCATCCCCCAGGAAGAAATGACTTACCGCAGTCCCTTCGCTTCCATTCTCAGGATTTTGGGTACCCATGCACAAGCATCTAGTGTGAGTTTCAAGCCACTAGGTCTGAGACTTGAACCACAGTCATCTATGTAGGGGTCCAGTGCTTTAAACACCATGCCACCTGCTGGCCTTCTTAGCTCATTTCTTATGTTTGAGTAATGTTCCATTTTATGGATATATGAAAGCTGGTTTGTCCTTCAATCGTTGAAGGACTTCTTGGTCACTTCCATGTTTTGGCAATTATGAATAAAGCTCCCATAAAATTCATGTGTAGGTTTTCTTGTGGATACCAGTTTTCAGCTCATTGGAGTAAATACCAAGGAGCACAATTACTGGGTCAGATGGTAACAGTGTTTAGTTTTGTTTAAAAAAACAAAACAAAACAAAACAACCCTACTAAACTGTTGGGACCAGCATTTGGTGTAATGGCTTTGTTGCTAGACTCCCATGTAGCTGACTGTGGTTAGAGTCCCAGACCTGGTGGCTTAAACTCACGCCGGGCGCATGTGCGTGCATGCCCAAGATCCTGAGAGGAGAATGGAGGAGAAGGGATTGTGGCATGGCCATCCCCCTGGGGGGGTGATTTCTCACTTTTTGACTCTCTGTCTCTCTCTGTCTTTCTGGCAAGTGCACATGCCCTAGCAAAAACCTCTCCTAAATAAATAAATAAATAAATAAATAAATAAAAACAACAACAATAAAAAAGCTAACAAACTGTCTTCCGAAGTGGCTGTACTGTTTTCTGTTCCTACCAGCAATGAATGAGAATTAAATCTTTATTTAAACAACTTTTTGTTCTAATACCTTTTAGAAAAGGCCAAAGCAAAAGGCAATATGGTATTTATGAACTGAGACATAACTACCCAGATTCCTGTGCTCATTGTATTCTATGTTTGTTTCAGGTTTAATTCATTTAAAAGGACTAATATCATACTACAACACTTGGTAAGTGTGGAATTTGTTTTGCTGGCATTATTAGATTCCATTATTAGATTAAAATGTCCTTGTTAGGGACTTAGCGAAATACTGAGATGGTGCTTTTCTTCGACTCTGGTATATGATGACTCTCAATTTTAATAGTGGCAAGTCTTGACACATAACCTCATAGGAGGTGGCGTAAGATTATAGTGAAGAGTGTGGATCTTCAACTCATAATGTTCTGTTTAAGCAGTGGGTCCACTACCTAATCTTGACAGATTACTTGGTCTCTTGCAGCCTCACTTTTGACATATATAAAGTGAGGATAATAATAGCTACTCTAGAGTGGTTATAAATGATAAGAAAGATAATGCAGTTAAAAATCTAGCATAGTACATGGCATGTATTGGGTTGTTAGAAAAGTCATGACACATTTTTACATGGAAAAACAAAAATACATCATGACTTTTCCGATGACCTAATAGTAATGATTTTATATGCATTAGCTAATGATGTATGAATGGTACTCTTGCAAGGATTATATGCCCTTAGTTTACCAAATTGTAAGGGAGAAGTAATTTTTTATTCACTTTCATATCCCTTTGGAGCCTTGTCGAACCCGCCGACGGTGAACAGTTTGTGAGTTGGGGCGGGGGAGGCGAGGATTAAAGAAAAGACAAGAGGACAGGATAGAAACGGGAGGACTGCCAGTCAATACTGGTCAGCCACAAGTTAAGTTTATTGCTGTGTTTTATACAGAAACATTTGGCTTCCTTAACATGGGACTCAAAAGTCCTTGCTGAGTTTATCAGGTTGTTGTAACAATTAACAATACTTGGAACATGCTACACATAACAATTCAGACACCCAAGGTTAGGTCCAGACAATAACCGTGGTCTCCATCTAGTGGTCACGTCCTACACGTTCCTCAAGTCTCCTTCTTGGCTCCCCACAGAGCCTGACAACTAACTTGCACATACAAATGTCACTTGCCAGAGCCCTTGCTGTTCTCCAGGACTTATCGAAGTACTTGGTATATATTAGCTCAATCAATTCACATGACAGTCCTGTGTGGTAGATAATACAGATCTCTTATCTGCATCTCTAAAAGCCCCAAACCAAAAGTTTTCTATAAGTTTGTGCTAAATACATCTGTTGTCAAAATCTGACCTGCATGTACATGAAGTTCTTTTAGCCTGACTAGTGAGACTATCTATAGTTTGTTACAGAGATATAAAAGCATTTGATTATGGTATACTGTCCCAGACTCTATTTGGGGTGTTTTATATGGTATGACATATCTACTGTGTTACTTTTTCAAAAGCTAGAAAAGTTTCTGGATTTAATGGATTAAGGAACAAAGAGGCTAGATAACATGCCCCTAAGTTACACAGTTAGTAAATCCAAGTTGTGATTTGAACCGGTTGATCTGACTCCAAGGACTTACCTGCTGCATCCTACAGCCTCCTACAGCAGCTAAATAACTACTGCAGGGTGTGAGTTGATTAAACCTCAGTAGGGTGGATATGGGGCTGTGAAGACTGTAATATTTCTTCCTCTTTTTACTTATTTTAATCAGCTGATCTACATGGGGACTGAGGAGTTGCCTAGGAAAAGAACTTGGATCAGTATTGATGAGTCATACTTAGACTATGTACATAGATTACTTGGGGAACCCTGAAAAATGACACAAGCAAAGAGTAATCAGGCCCTTGTATTCAGGCAAACCCCTCAATAAAGTACAGAGAATTCCAATGCCCAAGGCAAATTGCTCCTCTCAATAGCTAAGTTCTGTTTCTTGAGTTGGGTTGTGCTTACAAGGGTTTTTTTTTGTTTTTTGTTTTTTTTTTGTTTTTTTTTTTAGAGGTTTTTGCTATAGCGCAGCGACAGAGAGACAGAAAGTGAGAAATCACCCCCAGGGGGGATGGCCACGCCGCAATCCCATCTCCTCCATTCTCCTCTCAGGATCTGGGGCACGCATGCACACGTGCCTGGCGTGAGTTTTAAGCCACCGGGTCCGGGATGTGAACTGTGGTCGACTACATGGGAGTCCAGCGACACAGCCATTACGCCAACTGCTGGCCCCACTTACAAGGGTTTTTGACATAGTGTAGAAATTGGTGAATTATTATTTTCAGTGATTTTTTGTTTTCATGTCTTACAATAGAAATATAAAAAAGAAAAGACTGTAAGTAGACTACCTGTGATAGTGACATGGGCAGATGAGCAATGGGAAGTACAAAAAAGGCTCATCATCCATGTTGATGGCCTTAAGGAAAAGTGTTTGAGAGTGTCAGACACTAAATCAGTGGCAAAAATGCATCATGACTTTCCTGACAACTCAATAGTTTACAATTACTGCAGTCAGAATGATTTGTCCTCTCATTCATCTTCACTCTCTTTTTTTTTTGAGAGGTTTTTGGTATAGGGTGTGTGCGCTCACCAGAGAGACAGAAAGCAAGAAATCACCCGCCCAGGAAGGATGGCCACGTTGCAATCCCTTCTCCTCCATTCTTCTCTCGGGATCTTGGGCATGCACGCACACATGCCCAGTTTGAGTTTAAGCCACCAGGTCCGGGACTCAAACTGCGGTTGACTACATGGGTGTCCAGCAACATAGCCATTACGCCAGCTGCTGGTCCCCCCATCTTCATTTTCTTGGTACTTAACATAAGGTTTGACACAGTAATAAATGAAGATATTTAAGGGTATGTCATAGTCCAAGAAACTATGTGACTAAGCTCCATTATCAATTAATTGGTTCAGTTCACTACAAAATAAACATTAAAAAAAATTAAGAGGTGTACACAATTTATTGTATTGTCAGAAAAGTCATGACACATTTTTGTGTAGGAACATGGAAGAATACGTCATGACTTTTCTGACAATCCATAGTTTGGAATCTAATAATTGTCAGATACTCCTCTTTATCTCTTTCTTTAGTTACTGTTAACATAAGATATTTGCACTTTTGATGTGTATGTTTGATATTTGCTTTTGAGAAAAACCTAATAAATTTTATTGTAACATTTTTCTTTGTTTACAGAGAATGTCCAAGCATACAGCTACGGCAGGAGAAGTACTACTGGAAAGGAGAGGTTGTGCAGGAGTGATAACACTGAACAGGCCAAAGTTCCTCAATGCACTGACTCTTAATATGATTCGGCAGATTTATGCACAGCTAAAGGTTTGAAATTTTCTTAAGCATTATATGGATCCTTTAAAAAGTATGTCGTAATAGAACACTCCTGATATTTTTCTTTGGTAGAATCATAGGAGACTTCGGGGTTTGCAATCAAGGCCTTTCCACAGCTCTTACATGTTCACAGGTTTCTTTTTGTGTTGTCTGTTTCTCTGACTTCACAATCAGTAATAGTGTTTCTGCCTAATCTTAGGGCTTGAGCATGCTAATCTGATCTACTGTCTCGTGACAGCCTTTTGGTTTGAGGACAACTGTTTTTAAACTGCTTGTCCTGCCTTTCTTAGAAAAGGCCATAAACATTTCTATGTGAGCTACATGGGACAGTAGAAAAACACAGGACTTTAAAGTCAGATTACTTGTGTTCGAAATGCAGATTTTGGGACCAGCAGATGGTGTAATATTTATGTCACTGGACTCCCATGTAGTCGACCGTGGTTCCAGTCCCAGACCCCATGGCTTAAACTCAGGCCAGGTGTGCGTATATGCCCAAGAGCTTAAGAGGAGAATGGAGGAGAAGGGATTATGGTGTGGCCATCCCTCCTGTGGGGTGGTTTCTCGCTTTCTACCTCTCTGTCTTTCCGGCGAGCATATACACCCTATAGCAAAAATCTCTCAAAAAGAAAGACAGACAGAAGCAAAAGAAATGCAGATTTCTACTTATTAACTGTAGATTGGAAAAGCTGATCTTTCTATGCTTCACTTTCCTCACCTATGAAATGGGGGTGATGATAATTCTAGGTTGGTTATAAAAATTAAATGAAGTTTTATATATATATATATTTATATATATATATACACACATACATACACATATATACATACACACCCACCCACACACCCACTTACACACACACATATATGTTATGTACCTAATAGAGTCTGCCGTGTAGGTATTGACCAAGTACCTAGCCACTGCTTCCATAATTCTTCATTGATGAGTCCTTCTTGTATTCTTATGTTTTTGCTTGGGATACCTTACAGTATCCAAAAGTGTCAAACGTAGAAATAGGCCAAGTGTTGCAGGTTAGATCTGGGCCAGAGTAGAAGCAAGTAGAAATTTCCATGACAGAATAACGTATTTTTATTAAAGTTGCCCAATATTACCTTAAGCTTTTACACAGTCACATTTATCTATCCGTATCTCTTCCTTGTACATGTATATTTTTATTCTCTAGTATAGCATTTATAGACTCCCTGTAAATTTCTGTCTCTCGTTAGCTATGTTTTCATCTGACCCATTGTTTTAGCCTTTTGAATTCCATCGCTACTTGATTCATTTACTTATTACCTTCTCTTACCAGCTCTAAATCACTTACATATCAGTATCATTGGTGATTTCCCTTTTTTTTGACATTTATATTGTTTTTTAATTTTTTTAGTTCTTTTTAAAATTAATATATTTTTTATTTCATTTTCTTTTATACATTCAATCACATTATTATTTGTCTTACAAAATGGATATTTCAACAGGTGAACAAGTCTCCCCAACACAATTGACAAAACCACAAAACATCCTCAACAGACAATACCATACCTCCCTGTGTCATCAATACTTACTACTCAGAAATTTTTCAGTAGAACAGAACCCTTTGTCACCCCAGTAGAAAGGGTTCTGCTTTATCTCAGCATTCTTTGAGTTGTTCACCAGATTTATAAGTTTACGTAATATAATACTATTAAGCCCAAATTTAGTCTTAGTTGTAAAGTTATCATGGCAGAGGTTTCAGATGCCATCATAGAATTTGGATCATGAAATATGTTCATCTAGCAACCTTGTTGGAATGCCTTTACTTTATCTCAGAAAAGAAAATGAAGTTCATTCAAGGAAGAATGGAATGGAATCCATTCTTCTTGATATACTTCGTAACAGAAAAAATGGTATATACATAGAAACATATATGTATATGAATGTATATGTATATGTGCATATGGTTGTATCTTTAATGAGTTTGTATTTATAAAGTGCTTATACCATCTTCTTTTATATTTGGATAGAAGTGGGAACAAGATCCTGAAACTTTCCTGATCATTATAAAGGGAACTGGAGACAGGGCTTTCTGTGCTGGGGGTGATGTCAGAGGTAAAAATTCTCTCTTCCCCTTCTCTAAATGCTTTTTTCCTCAGAACTGACAAAGTATTGACAGGCTTTTACAGTAATTCATAATTTGCTTTACTTTTTACTAACTTTTTGGTTATAAAGTTAATACAGTCTTATAATGTTAACTTGAAAAAAAATATATAGGGACCAGCAGTTGATGTAATGGCTGTGTCGCTGGACTCCCATGTAGTCGACTATGGTTCGAGTCCCGAACCCAGTGGTTTAAACTCATGCCGGGCACATGCACGTACATGCCCAAGTTCCCAAGAGGAGAATGGAGGAGAAGGGATTGCGTGCGGTGTGACTCTCCCCCCTGGGGGTTGATTTTTCACTTTCTCTCTGCCTCTCTCTGGTGAGCTTATGCACCTTATAACAAAAATCTCTCTTAAAAAAATCAAATAGGGATCATCGGTTAGTGTAATGGCTATGTCGCTGGGCTCCCATATAGTCGACTGTGGTTCGAGTCACAGACCCGGCGGCTTAAACTCACGCCAGGCACGTGTATGTGCGTGCCCAAGATCCCTAGAGGAGAATGGAGGAGAAGGGATTGTAGCGTGGCCATCCTCCCTGGGGGGTGATTTCTCGCTTTCTATCTCTCTGTCTCTCTCTTTCTGGCTAGCGCATGTGCCCTATAGCAAAAAAATCTCTCAAAAAAAAAAAAAAGAAAGAAAAATATGAAAGACTTATTTTTACAGTTTTTAAAAAGTAAGGGGAATAGTGAATTCTTTTTTAGCAGATATTAAGCAGTTCTGTTGGTTATGTAACCTGGCCTTGTTGAGTGACTTACCATTATCCAGCTATTATCTTATGTAATTCCATAACTTTTCACATAATTTTCCACTATTTTGGATCCCAAAGCAAATACTCTTCTATGTATTTAGCTATACGCATCCTATTATATTGTAAGTATATTTTTTTGTGCACCTATGTTAAGATAAATAAAAAGCATTAATTTTTCTTTTTCTAATTATTCAGGTCAATCTGTACACATTTAAATGTTAAAGACCAGTAATGTGTTTGTTCTCAGGATCAAAGTCATATATTTACTGCATTGCCACTAGTCATTACTATTTTTTATATATTGAAAACTTTTTACACTTTGTGTTTGTTTCTTAAAGGTTAAGGGATGGATTTCTGTGTATGTGTGTTTTAAATTCATATATTTGTTTTGTGTGTTACGTTAAAACAGCAAACTTTGGCTTTTTTTTTCATTACATTTACAAGTTTGCACAAAATGTTACTATAGGAATAAACAAGCTGGATATGGGACATCATTTCAAATACCTGCTAGGGTAAATGAGTTTTATTAATAAAGCTTCATTTTATGGAAACTGTGTAAGCTGATTCCTTAACTGCATTGTCTTTTAATTTGTTTTGCTCACGATATGATTTTTATTTTTTAATTTGCTAGAGGGGTGTGTGAGCTCATCAGAGAGAGACAGAGAGAGAGAGAATGAGAAAGCATCCCCCGTGTGAAATGGTCACTCTCACTCAATCCCTTCTCCTCCATCTCTCCCTCCTTTTGGGATTTTGGGCACATACACACATGGACCCAGTACCTAGCATGCTTTGCAAGCCACTGGGTCTTGGACTCCAGTCCTTCCTTTGGAGTTCAGCCTACTGACCAAAGTTTACAGATGGGCAGAGGCTTATTGAATTTAGCTTCTTCTGGCTGTGAGCTATTTCTGCATATAGGCCTAATTTTATGTTGCTGTTTGGAAATAAAATTATACATTTAAAAATTTCTAGTTTACCTATATCAAGCAATGGACTTTAATTCCAGAAAATTTTGTTTCTTTACAGTTCATAGTCCAAGACAATAAGTGGGCACTCATAAAATTAAAAAAAAAAATGATTGTGAATCTCATTAATTTATATGGAACTAATTGATCAGACTAAAAATTAGATAGAATAAAATTTAAAGGAAATTTACATTTTTGAGAAAAAAGAACTTTATTCCAAAGGTGATACAATTTAAATTTCTTTTCTTTTAGAATTAGTAAGTAGTTGTAAGAAATGAATAAAGGATTAGGGATATGGGCCTTTATTTTTAGGCATATATCATTGGAAACCTCTGAGTGACAAAGGTAGATGTCAGATCCTAGTTTTGAAAAACAGGAAAATAAGTCAGCAAAAGTGTACATTTTGAAGGAAGATAAATCAGAATTCTAGAGTTAGCTTAAATGTCTATAGCCAACTACTCTTGTGTAATGCTTTCCCATTAAAAAAAAGAAAACATGTATACGTAGTGCATTTAATTTATATTGTAGGTAATTTTCATAGGACATGAAGATGGGAAAAGCAGATGAGCTTACATAGTATACAAGAGAAACTTTTGATGGGAGTCTTGAGATTGACTAGAATGGGAATATGGTAGATGTGAACTCTGGATAATAGTAGATTGCAGTAGAAGTGAAACCATTTGATTTTCAGCAGATATTCACTGAACTCTTTTGTATTAAGTCAACAGTTGTAGCTTGCTGTCCTTGAGAAGTTACATTTTCATTGCTATTGTTAATAAATAAGAACATTGTTATTGTAGTTATATAGTAACATAGTAAAAGCATAATAATTTACCTCCTTAACCAAAACTTTTACCATTTTCTTTTAGTGTTTGAAAACTACTTGCTTCGGGACCAGCAGTTGGCATAATGGCTATGTCGCTGGACTCCCATGTAGTTGACCGTGGTTTGAGTCCTGGACCTAGTGGCTTAAACTCACGCCGGGCACGTGTGTGTGCCTAAGATCCCGAGAGGAGAATGGAGGAGAAGGGATTGTGGCCCTTCTTCCTGGAGGGGATGATTTCTCACTTTCTGTCTCTCTTTCTCTCTCTGTCTTTCTGGCGAGTGCACACACCCCATAGCAAAAACCTCTCCCAAAAAAGGAAAAAAGAAAACTACTTGATTCTTGATTTTACTTTTTTCTTTTCTTTCTTGGCTCTGTGCCTTTATAACTACTGCTTTCTTTACTTGCAAACTCTGACCCTATCATTTTGTTGGAAGTGTCTCCTTATCTTTTCAAACTTGGTTCAGGCTTAACTTTTCTGGGAAGTCTTCTTTTAATCACACCTCTCGGGACCAGCCAATGGTGTAATGATTATATCACTGGACTCTCATGTAATCGACCACAGTTCAAGCCCTGGACCCGGTGGCTTAAAACTCATGCTGAGCGCATGTGCATGCATGCTCGAAATCCCAACAGGTGAAGGGATTGCAGTATAGTCATCCCCCAGGTGATTTCTAGCTTTCTCTCTCTCTTGACTTTCTCTGTCTGGCGAGTAATACACCCTATAGCAAAAATCTCTCTCTAAAAATAAAATATACCTCTCTTGGTTCCATTCCCGTAGCACCCCATCTTTATATAGGAAACATAGCACAAAGAGTGTGTTTCACTAGTTCGTCTTTCTCAGTAGCCTGGATTCCAGGGTAGCCATCTCCTATTGCTTTTTGTTCCCTGTAGCATCTAAAACAGTTCGTGGTACATAGTAGATGCTCAATAAAAGTTTTGTGGTGAAATGAGTATGGCAGAAATAATTAAATGAGATGGAATGTGCTATAGCACTATGCACATGCCTATGTGTGTGTATATATATATATATATATATATATATATATATATATATGGGTAATGTGTTCTGTGTTTTTATAGGAATATATAATTTATAAGTATAACATGTTATAACAAGTATAGAAAGTAAGAATAACATATTTTGCTTTAAGACTTTGACAGTAGCCTATGGATCTTGATTATAATATGTCTGTGCATGGTTAACTTCAAAACTTTGCAACCATTTTAGAGTCCCCCATGTCCTTTTTTACTTATCAATAAAAGTTTTAGTTTAATCTACTTGACTATATTGACTAGAAAACACCTTTAATTTGTAATTGTTCCTTTCTTCTTCCCTCCCTTCCTCTTTCCATTCCCCTTTCTCTCTTCTCACTCTTTTGTAGCAATCTCAGAAGCTAAAAAAGAAAATGAGACATTTGTTCAAGATTTCTTCAGAGAAGAGTATATACTGAATAATGCCATTGGTATGTCTGCCCTGCTGAGAGCTTTGAAATGGAATCAAGGAATAAGGTGGACAGTATGGTTTATTAAGAGTGTAATCTGTACGCACTCTTATTTAAACATTTATATAAATATGTGCCAGGTGTAACTAAAGTTGATTAAATTATTCTGATTGCTTATTTTAGAACAATTACTCTTTAATATTAATAGGCTATACTTAGTTGCTGTTTGTCAAGAAATCAATGTGGGGAACCAGCAGTTAGCGTAATGGCTGGGTCGCTGGACTCCCACGTAGTCAACCACGGTTCGCGTCCCGGACCCGGTGGCTTAAAACTCACGCCGGGCGCGTGTGCGTGCGTGCCCAAGATCCCGAGAGGAGAATGGAGGAGAAGGGATTGCGGCGTGACCATCCCCCCTGGGGGGTGATTTCTCGCTTTCTGTCTCTATGTCTCTGTCTGTCTGGCGAGCGCACGCGCCCTATAGCGAAAATCTCTCTCTCAAAAAAAAAAAAAAGTAAAAAAAAAAAAAAAGAAATCAATGTGAAAATGTGATTTCCTGATCATATGACCTGGAAAACAAAAAAACGTCAGCACTACTTTTTTTTTGTAAAATGAAGTATCATTTCCTAATTCTTGAGAAACTCTGGAATAACAATGTCTATAGAGCTGAGGTTCTGTGTTTTATTGGAAATGGCATAGTGCTTCTATCAAACGTGTGCTTTAAAAGTTAAATTACAGAGGATATCATGACAAATACTTGTGTACACACCAGCTCCAAATTAATAGACATCACTGAATTTGCTATAGAGCACATGTGCTTGATGGAGAGAGACAGAGAAAGAAAAAGTGAGAAAGCACTCTCCGGGGGCAACGGCCATGCTGCTCTCTCTTCTCCATTCTCCTATTGGGATTTCCATGCAGGCACACACACCTGGCATGTTTTTTCGGGCTGCTATGTCTGAGACTCGAGCTGTGCAGTCAGCCATGTGCTGCTGTACCTGGTGTATCTAGATTGGGCCATTGACTGAGCCCATGCCTCCCATGCTGCCTCAATCACTGTGCAGTGGCACTTTCCACTTGTGCCACCACGGCTGGGCCTGTATTGCAGCATTCTGACTGCAACTTGTCATCTGAGGTCAGATGTGGAATCTGCTATTCATGGCGTAATGGTCACTACTTAAAAAGATTTGGAATTGGGGCTAGCAGGTGGCATGATGGCTAAGGTGCTGGATTCCCACATAGTTGACTGCATTTTGAATCCTGGACCTGGTGGCATAAAACACACCAGGTGCATGTGTGTGCATGCCAAAATCCCCAGGAGAATGGAGGAGAAGGATTGTCGTGTGGCCATCCTCCTCAGGGATCATTTCTCACTTTCCCCCCTCTCTGTCTCTCTAGCATACTCTGACAAAACTGAAAATAAATAAATAAATAAGGATTTTGGAGTTTTGTGGATTTCAGACTTTTTTTTTTTTTTAATTAGAGATGCTTAGCCTATATGTCATATGTAATTCATATGTATTTAGCATTTAATCTTTGGTTGAATTACCAATAAATTTAATGATAAAGCTAAGACTAGAATCTGGGTCTTCAAACTGCCAGTGTTGGCTCTTTCTTGTATGCTATACTTCTCTGTATGTGGCCAGGTACCTCTTTAGATATCTAGAAAACCAGTTTGTTCATTAGAATACGACTGTGCTTTGTCTTTGTCTCTCTGTCTGGTGAGCACATGTGCTCTATAGCAAAACTAGAAGAAGAAACAAACCAAAAAAAGCCCACTGTACATAAACATCAGTAGCACGTTAGGTTAATTTTATTTCTCAATAGTGGTGTTACACAAGGCTTTCATTTGTTCCAGATTGAAGTTCAATGTGTTAAATGATAATGAATGATCAGGATTGTGTATGGATTGACTTGAACAATAATGTATTTTGCAAGCCATACATTTTTTTGTTATATCATATGTGACTTTTGGGGTAAAGTGAATGTGTTCTAAGCACCACAACTAAAATTACAGTTCTGTTTCTTTTAGGTTCTTGCCAAAAACCGTATGTCGCACTTATTCATGGAATTACAATGGGTGGGGTAAGTAGACTTTTTATTCTCAGCATTGATATGAGTAGGTTTGTGAGTGTCAGTTTATAATTACTAAGTAGGAGTGAGCTGACGAATGTAGTTGAATGGGACTTGTTGAAACCAAATCACATGTGAATTTTGGATCTTGGCAGATTTGGGATATCTCTACCCCCCAAATGTTTTATGTCTTTAATTACATGTTATTTTAATTTTTAATTAGCAAGCTTTGTAAACAATGGAAATTGATCACGTGTTGTTTATATGTAGAGCCCCTTCTTCTACGTGCAAATAAACTGCTTTGAACAGCTTCAGAAGAACTAGAGAGTTGTTTTTTCTTTGATTCTTAATAGTGGGGCTGTAGTTGCCTCCATTGCACCTGTTGCACAAAATTCTACCTTAGTGGGAGTGTTTAGATTCTTTGTGAAGTTCTCTAAAACTGCATTTCTATCAGTTGATAAATGTTTATGTTGCCTGTGTGATATTATAAAGAAGTCCGCAATGTAACTAGCCTTGAACAACTTCATAAGGGAATTGGAGAAAACATGAAATTATTACAGAAGTAATGGTAAATTGTTTAGTACCGACTATATCAAAGACAACCGTTAAAAGAAGTGAGGGATCAGAATGCACCTTCATGACAGGAAAAGGGCTGTATGGAGAAGCTGAGTTGAGCCTTGAAAGGTAGTATAGGAGAGAAAAGGCAGTATCTTTTCCTCACTCATCTCAGGAGTTGGAACTAATACCCTGATAATGAAAGACAGACTAACAAGAGAGGAGTGTAGCAAATGTATTCAGTCAGAGTTTTATATGACACAGGAGTCTTCAGAAATAAAGACACAAAGACCGGAGAAAACTGTATTTTTACACTTGGTTCAGTGAAGAATGGACAGTTATGAAGAAGTTTGATGGATAAAACAGGTATGAGCCAATGATGATAAACTGGAAGGAACTAGGCAAGGCCTATTCAGACAGTTCTTGGATTGTTTTCTTCCAGGTATAGGACAGGATGCCGGTTGCATAAGGGTCTAATGACATACTTTCAGAAGAGCCAGGTCAGAGAATTCTGGTATGGCCAACTCTCCCACAGAAAGGTAGGGAAAAGCAGAGAATGGCTTCCATGTTGCCATATTTCGGGGTAGTGTATTCTGAGCCCCAATGGTAGGTGGAACATTGGCAGGTTGATGGTAGGAGGCCAAAGGGTAGATTTTCAAAAATTCTACCTATTCATTATTTCAAGGATGTATTGGGTTGTCAAAAATATTATGACACATTTTTGCATAGAAAATATGTCAATATGTAGTTGTTAGGAATGCAAGTGTCCCCTTCTTGTTCTAATAGAATCACCCTGAATGAAACCTCTTGGATATTGAGAATCTCATTCTTCATATCATTTTGTAAATGGATTCTAATAGTAGCTACAGGATTAGAAAGCAGGATCATGGTGGGGGGGGTGAGCAACCCTGTAGCACAGTGATTAAGTGCTCTGCATAGAAAGCTGGAACCCACATGGCTGACCACAGTTTAAATCCTGACTCTAGCAGCTTAAAAAACATACCATACATACATGTGAGCTCCAAATCCTGACAGGATGGAGAATCAGAGGAAGATGGATTGCAGTCTAACCATGTCCCACGGGTGGGTGCGTTCTGTCTGTCTGTGTCTACCTGGTGAGTACATATGCCCACTGACAGTAAAAAACAGACAGACAAAAGGAAAGCAAGATCAAGGGTAGTTGATAGCCCTCCACTGGTTGGCCGACATGGGTTGTCCTTTCTTTGTCAAGGAAGTGTTAACCTGGGGAAAAGTAAAATCTTTAGGGGAAAAATGCTTAGAAGAGTGGAAGAGTAATACTCTGAAGTGTTGAAGGACGAGTTACATTGTGAATGTGAAAGGAACCAGGAAAAATGAGTCCCCAAATAATGGGAATACCCAGTAGCATGTAAAATAAGAATAGTGTCCTCAATGAAGAACCCTATTATGAGGAAGTCAGCAGCTCAGATCAAAGGGCGAAAGGGCTGCAGGTTGAATGGGGAAACAGGAAATGTAGGTAAGGATAACTAGAAAAAAATGATGAAGAGAACTGACATCCCACTTTGAAACAGTAGATTAAAAGTTGAATTTAACATTACTGGTAGTGGCGTTATGTCTGTGGAGGACAAACCTGAGAAGCTCTCAAAATATTTTAAAAAGAAATAGGGTAAACTAATCCAAAATGTTTTGAGGTAATGAATAGTGACTATCAGAAAGATACTGGGAAACCAACAAAGGAGTTATAAATCCCCTGTAGAAGGTAAATCAAAACCTAGTATCAGAAGTGGTGGTCAGATGTAATTAAAGAAGACTTTCTTTGAAGTAAAAACAAAAGCTCCCAACCTAAGGTATATGTAATTAAAAGAAACAGAGCATTTTAGATAATTAACTAAGAGACCCATACCTAGATAAAAGCTCAGGTAAATTGTTTTGAATTACAAGAATGAAGAAAAAAAAAATCTACTGTAAGTGTTCAAGGTCAAGGAATCAGAGTGAAGAATAATTAGTCAATACAGATTATTATAAAGGGACATAAATTTGGCCTCAGACTTCTCTGTTCTACAAAGTGGTGCCCGAAGTCAGTGGGTTGAGAATGTTGTAAAGTGAAATTATTTAAGACGTAAAAGTTCTCTACTTTCTAAATTGTCATTTAGTATGGATGGAAAGTAATAATCTCAGAAATGAATAGGCTTAGAAAATATATTGCTAATACGTTGTTGAAAATATTTCAATAAATGTTGTCAGGAAGGTCATTTTTCTATGTTTTTCTATGGAAAATACATCATGACTTTCCTGATAACTCAGTATTTGGTTTATTGACCAACAGATTACCCAAAATGAATAACTCAGGACTAGTTCTGATATGAAAGAATTGGTGAGCTGCCCTTTGGTGCTTTCAGTAGGCAGAACTAGCACTTTGTAGAAGTCTGAGAAGAATCGTTGCCTAGCACGCCCCATCTGAATGTGTTGGCCTTGCCTTTTGGCCCCCATGACATATGTACAAGTTGGTATAGTGTTTTATATATTCTTACATATGTAACTACTAAAAATATGCCATTTCTCAAGAGAAAAGATAGCAGTTAAACAGGCCAAGATACTGTTGTCTTGGGTAGACAGAAAGAATAAGAGTGTTGCCGCTTCTTCCTACTGGTCTCTCTTTTCTGTATTTACTTAAAGGATACAGATCATTATTTTTTGCTTTTTAAAAGTTTTTTAAAGAGGTTTTTGCCATAGGGTGCATGCACTCTCTGAGGAGAGATAGAGAGAGAGAAAGAGAAACAGTGAGAGGGAAAGTGAGAAATCACCCCCTGGGGGGGGATGGCCATGCCGCAATCCCTTCTCATCCATTCTTCTCCCAGAATCATGGGCACAAACGCACATGTACCAGGCATGATTTTTCAAACTGTTTGTCTGGGACTGGAACCACAGTTGGCCATGTGGGAGTCTAGCGAGATAACCACTACGCCATCTGCTGGCCCCCACAGATGATTTTATATTAGCCTTTCTTAATCAGAATTATACCAGAAAATTAAGACTTAGTGCCCAAAGGGAGTGGTTTTCAAGGTGTTATCCTTGCAATAACAACATCAGTGACACTGGGGAATTTGTTAGAAATATGCATTCTTCAGTCTTACCCTAGAGTCAGACTGTAGGGATAGAGCCCAGCGGTCTGGCTGAGTAAGCTTTCCAAGTGATTCTGACCCATGTTGAATCTGAGAACCATTATCCTAAGACATCTATAGCATGTAAGACATGAACGTTTCCTTCTGTTTCTGCCCTGTGCTTCCAGAACGGTGCTAGCTACATGCCAGCCTTAGAAGGATTGAGAAAGTAGCAGGTCATTTTCAGTTATCTGTGGTCCAGGAAAGCCTGAATAAGAAAGCTTATTTTATATTACATTTTATCAGCTCCCCTAAAAGACAAAACAAACAAAAAGCCAAATGTTTTTCTCTCTGCACGTATTCTTTTTTTTTTGGAGAGGTTTTTGCCATAGGACGCGTGTGCTCGCCAGACAGACAGAGACAGAGAGACAGAAAGCGAGAAATCACCCCCTGGGGGGATGGCCACACTGCAATCCCTTCTTCTCCATTCTCCTCTTGGGATCTTGGGCACGCACGCACACGCGTCCGGCGTGTGTTTTAAGCCACCGGGTCTGGGACGTGAACCGCAGTCGACTACATGGGCATCCAGCGACATAGCCATTATGCTAACTGCTGGTCCCGTTGCATATATTCTTGAAGACTGAAGTTCTACTCTCTATTTTGACAGTCTTTAATAAAAACAATTACAATTTGACATGATTTCTTGCTACATTGAGTTGGTACATTCAGTTTGTTCTCTAAATTTGGCATTTGTTCTTTGTTGTTAGTTACTTCAAAAGATGTCTTAGCTCTTTAAGAATATTAGATGGTTTTTAAAGGGAAGTTTTTTTTTTGTTGTTTTGTTTTTGTTTTCTTTTTTTTAAGAAAACATTTAAATTCAAGGACCAGCAGATGTTGTAATGGTTATATCACTGGACTCCAACCGTGGTTCTAGTCCTAGAGCTGGCAGCTTAAAACTTATGCCAGGCATGTGTGCATGCATGCCTAAAATCCTGAGAGGAGAATGGAGGAGAAGGGATTGTGGTATGCCATTTCCCCTGGTGGGTGATTTCTTGCTTTCTGTCTCTCTTTCTCTGTCTCTGTGGTGAGCACATATGTCTTATAGCAAAAATCTCTCTTAAAACAAAACAAAACAAAACTTTAACCTCAGAATGCATAATACATTGCTTATTAAAACACTTCTACTCTAAATGCAAATAAACATCATGTATAACCTTTGAAAAAGCAAAATGAACAGTTTGAAGATAAATTGGCTCTTTTTTTCTAGTGGAATTTTGTATGTATCTTAGTTTTGAAGGCTAACTTTTCATGGTTTCATTTATAGACTTTTCTAAGTCTCCTGAATTCTAGTCTTTTTGTTTTTTTGTTAGACTTTTG